ACTTGAATGATTTCTACCAGAGAACAAAAGCTCCAATCTCCACTCTCATCCCCCTTCCCAAATGCCAATATCGACCCTAGGCTAACTTCAAGTTAATATGAAATCATTTCAGGTAGACAATTAAGGGTAACTAAAACGACCAGATTTTCTAGGGACCAACATCTTCTAAAAGAGATTTTAAGCACATAAATGATCTCAGAAGTCAGGTAACAAATTATTTTAAATGGGTCTCAGATTGTCTAATTTTATTTAGGTCCTTGGTGTAGTTATTTCTTGGAAAGGTATCTTAAAGGATGAAACAACAAACACCACAAACTCCTATAAGTCTTGCTTTAACTTTGTCCCAATTTAGTGAAGTTTTCCTTGCTGCAAAGAGTTAGTCAGGCTGTGCTTCACCGCCTAAGACCTTACACACTAGAGCAGGATAGACCGCGCTCTATGGGCTAAGACCTTACTCTGGTGGTACCTGAAGCCTCTTCTAAACAACTAATGACTGGTACAAAGATGAAAATTGTTACTTTGCTTCAGGGGTTGCATGCTCATATCTCTTCAACCCTCCATGGTGAAGCCATTTGTTTTAAATGAATTTATACATGACATTTCTCCAGGTCTTGCTATAAATACAACCAATGGAAGAGCTATTATTCTGGTTGTATCTTTCAATGACTGCCCTTCTTGTAAAGACAGTTCTTGTTGAAATAAATGTGGGAGGGACCAAAGAAATTATAAAATAAGGCAGTCACACAAAGACCGGAAAACTGAGAGCATCAGAAACCCAATCTCAATTTCAAGATCCTCTCTAAATACCACGGCATTTGACAGTGTATGAATAAAATATCCTGATGAAAACTTATATTTTGGTCCTTATCTCCAATTGTTTTCTATTCTAGAAAGGATTTGGAATTGGTAGTGCTTGATGTAATGAGATTGTTGTTCTGTGATGAGTTAAACAAGGGGAAGGTTTGGGTGACAGTATTTCCGGGCTTAGTAAGTGTGTGAACCTAGTTCAGTTTAGATTAATTATCCTGCTTCTATGATTCATGTTGTGTCTCTGTGTGCACTTGGCTGGTATGGCAATGGTGTTGTACAGCAGACTCATTTTTATACTTCACTGTAAAGTGAACAGAAATATCAATACCCAAATTTTAGCTGGAACAAAGATCAGCCTTTTCTTTGTGAAACACATAAACATGATTTTCTAATAAGTAATGTTTCCTGATTTTCATAATTATGTCTTAATTCTATTCAGGTCAATTATAGAGATGCGCCAACTTGAGAAGTATTTGGAACAAGCTTTGTAGATGTCATTGTGTTGCATATGTATGTACATAGATTGCCAGAGAAACCATACAGAGAATTATGGCACCAAAACACTATGAATTTGGGTCTTAATTTCTTCTTATTGCAAATTCATAGAAATGGAAATACAAAGAGTTAAATCTTTGCATTGTTTGCTTCCATGAAGATATATATGCATAGCTTTGCCTTGTCTTCCATTTCAGTTGATACTCCTCTCAAGACCCTCCTTTCCCAAGAGCCCTCCTCCCATTTTTTTTTTTTTTTTTTTTTTTTTTTTTTGTCATTTACAGCCTCTCTTCTCCTGGGGTGGCTAACTTCCTTTTGCTCCAAAACATTACTTCCCACACATTAATGCCATTCCACCATGTTTTCATATGTGATCTTTCTCCTACCTAAACTGGGGAGGCACCTCCACCACTGTATGATACAATAATCATGAGAGGGCAGGAGGATCACAAAAACTAATACAATGAATGAGTACATAAATTGGTGAGTGCATCAAAGGACCCAGAGGACCTACACGTGCACACATTTATGTCACTTACCTACCTTTTCACACTCCAGGTGTGAGAAATGTATCAAATTTATTCTGGAGACCTTTGTTAATATCTTTATCTATGGGTATAAATGTTTTGTCTGCATGAATGTCTATGTACTATGTATGTGCAATGGAAAAGAGAAAATGGCATCCTGTCCTTTGGGACTGGAGTCAAAGATGGTGGTTAGCTGCCATGTGGGTGCTGAGAATTGAACTGGGTCCTCTAGAAGAGCAGTGAGTATTCTTAACTACAAAGCCATCTTTCCAGCCCATTTGTCAATGTCTCAAAGTATGATTTATTGCTAAATTTTCTTTTATCACTTTTCTGGTTACAGTAAAGACCCAAATATATCATCTTCAAGATGATTAGACCAATGTTAAAATAAATATAGATGCAAGGTGCAGATTTAATTACTCTGTTTGTATTGAAAATAAGAGTCATTGGTGATAACCTGAATGACTTAATAGATATTTATGTGTGTAAGCCATGGTTATGATCAAACACGCACACACACACACACACACACACACACACACACACACACACACACAAAGGACATTAATTGTCCTTTGAAGATGATACTCCCAGGAGGAAAAAATTCAAAATGCCCCTTCCAGTTTTTTCCCTTTCAACTTGTTTAAATACTCTTTGTTGTCAACAAAGAATCATTTGTAGAATGAATGAAAAGGAATGGAAAGAAATAATTATCAAAGAACCACATTTCTCAAATCAAGTAGAATGGTTAAGATCATTGGTCAAGAATATTTCCCATCTACTATCTTATTATGAAAGCAGACCATTATTAAAGAATTTAGTTTATCTTTCAACAACTCATAAGGTGATGGCATCTGCAATAATACACTGGAAAGAAATCACTGTAATCTTTTACAGGTACCTCTTCTGCTTTTATATTGCTATTTGTTTATCTCAACTACACACAATGCAAGCACTTGGTACCCAGTAAATGTTCTTGGATGGCTTCAGTCTGTATTCTATTTTTGAATAGTTTTTAAATTTAGTGCTTCAATTGCCTTAACCAGCTCTTGAATCAGTGGTTCTCAACCTGTGGGTCTTGACCCTTTCACAGGGGTTGCCTAAGACCATTGGAAACCACATACATTTATATTATGGTTCAGAACAGTAGCAAAATTACAATTATGAAATAGTAATAAAACTTTTTTATGGTCCTGGATCTCCACAACAGGAGGAACTGTATTAAAGGGTCTCAGCAGTAGGAATGTTGAGAACCATTGCTTTAAATGTTACAATTCCTTAACAAGAAAAATTCAGTCCTGTACAAGGTCACAAATGTAAGTAATACATCCTAATTTTAAGTCTATCTTTTGTTTCCTTATTAAAGGAGTAGAAGGAGGGAGGGAAAGAGGGAGACCAACACACACACACACACACACACACGATGAATGCTTTCTTGCTTTATGAGCTTTACAGTACCAGAGGAAAATAAATGTTACATAATCATTGCTAACATAACAAGACATATGTTCTATACATATAATAAGAGTTTAAATCATATTGGTCACAGTTTGCCTGCATTTTTGTGTATGTAATCATTAACATAATAAGACTTGCAATTTTTGATGAAATACTAAGATGCAGATATATACCAAAAGATATAAAGCTGCAATATTAATTCAAGTGTTACTTTATAATTTGAGTTGCTAGTGATCTAACTCTTGAGGAAAGGATTTTTTTTCTTTTGAAAAATTAAATGCAGTGAGGTATATTGACAGTTTGAAGCAAATACTATGTCAGAATGTCTGTACTTAAGTCAGCACTTTGTACATGTTGAGAATATGAATTATTGATACTTTTAGGTTTCAGCCTATTTGTCATTTAATAAAGATTTGCTATGGTGTTTTGTAGTGAAAGTGTTATATAAAGAGAAATGAATATGATCCCTATAAAGTTAAAACATGTGATTCTTTTCTATTTTAATTCTAACTGGCCAAATGACATTTGAGAAGGTCATTTACGTTCTCAATGTCTCACACTGGGTAGGTATAACAAAAACCTATATTTTCCCTTGCTTGGCTTCCAAAGTCATGGGGAGATTCAAACTGACAACATAGGTAAAAATGCTTTGTAGTTTGCCCTTTAACATGACATTGACCATGACATGTGTTTAAGGCGATTATTATTTATTGACCTAACACAATATCATCTAATAAAAGAAATATTTGGACACCATTACATTTAATGAGGGCACCATGTCTATTCCCAAGGAGGTGCATTCTGATTTATAGAGCAAGAATTAAAAAATTCAGAGAACTACCAAATGCAAATAAAGGAATTATCCAGCAATGTTTGCCTTTCTGCTCTACTGGAAGCTTTGGAATAATACCTGTGTGTTTTCATTATGTAACTATGGGTCTTTTCACTTACAGGATAGTTCTAAAATTTCTGTCCTACCAGATCCCAGATAACCTTGTGTACACTCAAGCTTCGGGTTTATTTGCAACCCTCTTAACAGAATGATCACAACTTAGTGAGCTAGGCTAGGAGAGGCCACATGCGTGCAGAGAGTGGGACTCACAGGTCACTTGGTCCACAAGGATATGCTGCATTGTTTGGTTCTTCCTTTGAAGAGGTGTCTTTGTTTTAAATTTAAGAGCTCTTGAGTGAATAGAAAAGATGTCTCTGAAAGCCAGAAACTGTTGCCATAGCATTTTCCTTCTCTGTTTCTGCCTACCTTCCTTCTCTAAAGCACGAACAATCCGAGCTCTGTGGCTTTTTCAGGAGCAGATGTCTCTACAGGTTCCAGGGTTCCAGTGGTATTCTATCTACACTACAGACAGACTGACTGTACCTGGTGGGAGGGCTTAGTGAGTCTGAGGGCGGCATTAAGTTTCCTAGAACGGATTCATCTTTGCAGATACCATTGGAGAACAGAAAACAGATCTAGGGAGACATTTCCTCCCACACACCATCCCAATCCCATTGGCCCTCTAAGACAGACAAATTACAAGACCTGAAACACAACCTCGTCATTTCCAGTATTCTCAGCGTGGACAGCAACTGCATCCAGAGCACTTTCTCTGCAGTGTGCCTGGAGAGCCACAGCAGCGCCTGGTGCAGCACGCGACTGACCCGCGCGCCCTCGCTCCTCCCTGTCCAGCCCTTCCCACACTCCCTCGGTGCCCTTAGCCACTTTGAGGGATTTCCTCCCGGGGCCGCCTTTGCAGCAGCAACACGTCTGCCTGGTTCGCGGCAACTGCAACTGCGAGCATGGATCTCAGAGGAAGAGCTCTTTTTAACAGAGACAGACTTCGGATTCTCTTGATGCTCTTTCGTGAGTAGCGTCTGGGGACCGGGAGTGCGGGTTGCACTCTGCGGAGAATCCAATTCACAGAGTAAAGCCAGCAGCTTTGGGTTTAAAACTGGTCTTTATGTGTTGTGTTTATTTGGGGCTGGTGGTTGGGGCTGACCCACCGGTGTCAGAACTCCCCGAGATCCACACACCTGTGTGGCATCAACCAGACATAGGGCGCTAGACAGACAGTACTCACCATGGGGAGGGGGTGGCACCACACTGGCAAGAAAGATTTAGCTTTAACCTCCCCCAAGTGTGTTTTTTAAAGCCCAGTCGTATTGCAAGTAAGGATTTACTTTTATTTTAGATTATTTTTTCATTATAAAACAGAAGCGGTGAGTCTGAATTTGGTAGCGCTGAGTTAGAGAAATAAATGGCTTGCTGAGCCACACAGCTTCGAGCTGGGAACTTTGCCACTCCAAAGCCTGCAGAGAACAGTCTCTGGGTGTCCTAAAGCCACAAGCTAGCTGAGCCTGAAATCGATGGGATTGCTTTGCTTGCTCTGCAGATGCAATGGCCCAAACAGTGGCAGAACAAGAAGTGGAAAATCTTTCGGGCCTTTCCACGAACCCCGGGAAAGACATATTTGTGGTGCGGGAAAATGGGACGACGTGTCTCATGGCAGAGTTTGCAGCCAAATTTATAGTACCTTATGATGTGTGGGCCAGCAATTACGTGGATGTAAGGAACCTTTTTTCCTCCCCAGCTTGCCCCCAGGGCTGCAGGGCCGAAGGGCACCCTTCTTTCTGGCCCTGCCAAGACCTCAGTTGCCCGCCTCTTCCCCCCAAATCCCTGCAGGCTGTTCCCGAATGCTGCATGGGGGTTCCAGCTTGCAACGCCTTCTGCTCGCCCTGCCTGCTTTAAAAGTAAAACCCCTCTCTGCTCCCCTCCTGGAGGGATGTGCACGTAAGAGTCTACCCGCATGTTCCTGGATCCCCCGGAGCGCGCGTGTACAGGAGCGCCCAAACCTGCAAGCTAGAGTTTGGACGCGCAGCCCTTGCCTATTCTCGGGCGCCAGGGCCCCGCGCGCTGAGGGGGCGCGGGGCGTGTGTATTCCCAGCTGATCACAGAGCAGGCTGAGATCGCCTTGACCCGGGGAGCTGAGGTGAATGGCCGATGTGGCCACAACGAGTCGGAGCTGCAGGTGTTCTGGATAGATCGCGCCTATACACTCAAAATGCTGTTTGTAAAGGTAATTGGTGTGGGGGATCTAGAGGGATGGTGAAGTCCGAGTGGATGAGCGCCGGTAGTGGCCTCTGGTTTGTTCACTATAAAGCGGTTCACAGGAGCCTCCCCATCTTGGCAGGAAAGTCACAACACTTCCAAAGGACCAGAGGGGACTTGGAGGCTGAGCAAGGTGCAGTTTGTCTATGACACCTTAGAGAAGACGCACTTTAAGGACCCAGTGAGTGGTAAGTAGTCCAGTGGGGATGGGAAAGCTTGGGCACAGTAGCAAGAGCAAGCCAGAAACATGCACCCTGTCTCTGGGGCTTGGAAATAGCTCTTGGATTTGTACTGTGAGGGCAAACCTAGCTGGGGCCTGCTTGCTCTCCAGGGTCAAAGAGGAGATGGGAGGGTCTCTGCGTTCTCAGCAAATCCTGAACTAAAAATCCTTTAGACTCAAGCTGAACCCTGACATTGCCATGGAAGGGGCACCGATGACTTTTGCTGTTTTTTTCCTCCGCATCACAGATTGATTTACTCCCATGCATTAAAAAGTGCAAGAAGATGCTGCAACATGGTTGGGTGGGCTGCAGGACCTTTCCATGCACAGTGTCATGTATCTTGCATCTTAATTTATTAGCTTTTCCCACCCAGCCTCACCCTGATCTTCCAGAAACATCCAAAGGAAAAGGATACCCATACCTGAAATAACAACGTACCTAGTATACCTGCAAGCACCATCAAAGACCAGGATACATTTAAATGTATTTTAAAACAACAGCAAAATTCAATGTCTTGTTTGTAAAGAGGCCTACCATCACTCAGGCTCTGTGCTGGAAAGGAATCTTTACTGAGGGTGCAAAAGAATTCTGGCACCATCTCTTCCTCTTTATGTTTTGATAGTTGCAGTAAAAGAATTATTTACTTTTTTCCTTTCACCAAAACAATCAAGAATTTCCATTAGGATGAGAGAAGAAAGAAAAGGAAAGAGAAAGAACAGCAAGCATGAACCAGAAAATCAGAAAAATGGGATGCAAACTGTGAAGAAATGTGCCACTGTTCTGTCTTTGGAATTATCAATCAAGGCTTTAGTCAAAAGGGTTGTGTTTTCAGGCAGCACACGTCTTTCATCAAAACGTAATTCCAAGTTGCGATCTAATGAGGACAGTCTCAGAAAGAATGGGGGACTTGGTCCATCAGACACACTTGGTGTCTTTGGTGGAGCTCCAGCCTTGGGACTGCAGCACCAATAGGAAGCACAGGTTCTGGGCTTAGCAGAGATCTCTCTGGGCTAGGAGCAGCGAGGGTACTTGCAGCCCAACTGATGCTTTGATTCTCTTGCAGCTGGAAAGCACACAGCCAACTCTCATCACCTTGCTGCCTTGGTAACCCCAGCTGGGATGTCCTATGAGTGTCAGGCTCAGCAGTCCATTTCTCTGGCCTCCAGTGATCCTCAGAAAACTGTCACCATGATTCTGTCTGCAGTGCACATCCAACCCTTTGACATCATCTCAGATTTTGTCTTCAGTGAAGGTAGGTTAAGTTGGTGCTAGGAAATGGAGATGGGGGCTGATTTTAAAGGTGGGTGTGAAGAGGGACTTACTGGGCTCCCAGGATGTTTTCGCCTGCATTTTTTTCTATGCCGCAAAAGCAATTTCCATAAGATCTAGAGGTTATAAAGTGAAATGTGTCAGCTTTCTGCAATACCCACCCCTGCCCACCCCTCCCTCCACTTCTTTATTCTCTCACTCACTCCCATGGGAGAAATTATTTCAAGGCAGTTTGATATTCTGCTTATTTCCCATAGGCAGAGTCTAATTTCTTTATTTGTACTTTCCACTGGGTTGGGATTACCAAGTGAATATAATGAATTGTTTAAATGTTCGTAATATTGGAAGATCCCCATCTGAGTCATCCACCACCATTTTCCAAGCTATTTCTCATTCACCCAAATGAAGCTTTCTCTCAACCTATACCTGACAGAATGCCTCCACCACCTCCAAATAATTATCCCCAGAACATTTGAGATTTCTGATGGTAAATTTTCCTTGAGAGGCCTGATTCTTTTGTGCACCTCCTGCTCCTTCCCTCTTTCTTTTCTCTCTCTATCTTTCTGTCTTTCTGTGGAGCTCTTGGGTAGAATTCAGGCCCTCATCTCAATGCCTTTGCATTGTGCTGCAATCTAAGTTCTAGGCCAGTTACTCATCTTGGCATTGGTTATGATTCATTTTGGCTTTATTAACATCTAACACAGTACAAGATCAGTTTAGATGTTCAGGTAACTGACTAAATAGGTGTGCTGATATTCAAATGACAGAGTCTTGCATATGTGTATATTTTAGGAGTAGAAACTGAGATTGAGAGGTCAGGGCCCCAAAGTTTTAAATATTATTTACTATAGGAATATTCATAAAATATAGCACTAAGTACCTTTATTAAGATGAAACAGTATACGCATTAAGACATATTGTGGTTGTTGATGACCCAGGACTTCATTATGAGAATATTGGACCATGTAGTTTCCTTCCACAGGGTTGTCATCACAAGCATATTTGAGTTTGAGTGGGAAGCTTTAGTGGTGTCCAGTGGCTTTTGCTGTCTGCTGGCCAGCTTTATTAGCTCTCCTTTGTTTCTTGGCACTTCTGGTGTTATAATTGTTGATTTTATAAGTTTCTCAACACTATCCCACTTGAATCCATTCTGGATTATTTTTAGATTGTTGGTAGTTATCTATGGACTGAGAAATCATACCTGATGTATGTTTAAATTTATTTTTATGCAAAGAACAATTACTGAATAAAGAATAGAGAACTCTTGACTATAATTCAGCAAAATACATTGCATAGGATCAGTTACATATTTTTTTATTTTATTTAATTTTATATAACAAAGTCCAATTAAATGAAAACAAACATTTATACACAATATTTGGGAATTTGGGCGTCGTTCTTTCCAAGCTACTTCCTGCTGGTAAGGGGCGCTGTCTTGGGGGGATTTGAAGAAGATTCAGATATCCTGGCTGTAGTCAGTAGGGCTGTTTTGTCCAGCTGTTTTGAATGTAGGATTAGCTTGTACTCTGTTTCAGGCGGGCTGGCGTGATCAAACCTCATTAGTCTGGAAGGAATCCACATCTTTTCATTTTCTGTGGAAATAAAAATAGAAATCCTTTTCCCCAGTAACTTGTCCTTCAACTTAAATTTTGGACATTTTTTTAACAACAATTATTATGCATTTCAGGGTTGTAGGTGTGGAAGATTACTAGGCACACATAGAGACTTTAAGCACACAAAATTTCCTAAATACAGACAAAATAGGCATAGGTAATTTGCAGTATTACCCAGGCATTTCAGGCTAGTAATTGGGATGTCCTCACCTGTGTAGTGCCCCAGGCTCAGGCTTTAGTACTCCTGGGAGGAGGCAGGCATCATTCAGCATCACTCACTGGATCTTACACCTTTGTGTGGAAGATGTTCTTTTGTTCCTGGCACCTCCTGCCTATGCTTCTTAGTTTCTGCCCACCACTGTCTAGGAAGAGAGTATTGTATTCCATTTAAGGGAATTGGAAAGATTCCTTTTGAATTGCCCTTTCAGGTGCTGGTACTGGGACTCCAGTGTCTTCTATATGTCGATGTGTATGCGAGTGAACTGTATCTGCCAGAGGATGTTTTGTCACATATCTGCACAACCATTTTGGTTGTTGCATGCACTTTTAGGTGTGTGTGTGAAAATGACCAGGGGTTTGTTGTAAAAATCTATTTCTTATACCAGGAAGTTTTTACATATGGTCTATTTAGCCTACTACATGAGATAAGCAAAGAAGGATCAGTAAAATGGGTAAGTGGACAGGCACTGGGGCTGAAAGCAGCCAGATGAGGGTTGGCATCTTCATCACTTGTGTCCCTTTAAATGCACTGGACTTAGCTCCAGAACTGGTCTTAATTACTAGCATCGCCTAATTTTAAAGCACATGGGAATTCTGAATGGCATGAACACAGTTATGATTTTAATATTCAGAGTCTGCTCCTATAGACCCTGAAGTGGGGCCCCACATACCAAACTCCAGATGATGCTGTTTATTCACAAAATACTCTAGAGGGCTTGAAGGATTAGAGGCTGAGACATACAATAAGCTTTGGTGGGTGGGGATGGATGGGGTTGTAAGAGATAGGACACTCCTCAGCATCATCTAGAGAGTCTCATAATATGAAGACCACAATTCATCCAAAGAGGAGAGGAGAGAGCAAGGGAGGGGAGAGGAAGGGGAAGGGGAGGGTAAGACTTTCTGGAGGAAAGAAAGTCATGTGTCTTGCGATAGCAGTGTAGGAGCAGGACTATACACAGCAGTGATTGACCATATGAGGGGATATACGAAAATGCTTTAGTTAAACCAGAAATACTCTAGTGCATTGAAGTACATGAATGTCTAAACCAAAGCCAACTTTTACTGCCTTTTAAAGAAGTGAGACAAATTTTCATCCATTTGGAGTGGTAGATGTCACACTGTGAGATGTACTGCTAACATGGGCTACAAAATGGTATCAGTGATATTGGTATTGCATTAGAAATGATGTACAAAACAAGTTTTGACAAATACTTTTTTGTAATTCAAAAATTTTTTAATGTGAAATTAAATAGTTTCTGGGCTTCTTTTAATGCTGGCAAAGTCCTGACATTTAGGTAGTTCTCAGGGTATTTTCTGAAAATATTGTAGTTTAGTAATATATTTTATTGCTGCTTATATATTTAACTATAATTTATTACGGCCCACTCATTTCAATGTACTATATATAATTTTGTTACTCCAATTACTTAACTATTAGTAGATTGTATGTGGTTATATGCACAACTGCCTTCTAAAAAGGGACTGATCATGCTTTCCTTGAAATGGCATTTCTGTGGGTCTGCAGGAATAGTTCTTGTTATATGTCTTAGTAAAAAATTAAGAGCAAGCAACCAAAATCAGGAGTAAAAATAGTTTGGGGCGCCTCGGCGTGACATCTTGTAGAGGCTGCCATGGCTTGGGGCCATAAAATTACGAGGTCCTCCCTTACCAATGGGCAGCAGCTGTGGGGTGAGGTTTCAAGAACCAAACAAAGAAAACAGGCTCTAAATGGCTAAACATCTGCCTACATGTTTTTTTTTTTTTTTTTTTTTTTTTTAAATAATTGGGCCTGTCCAAATTTGAGTTTGTTGCCAAGAGGCTTTTGAGCTAAAGGGTCGCAGCCTGCAGTGAAGAAATCAACAACTGATGGAGAGGGTGCCTTTGACTCATTTGTACACCAGACACACTTTGTATAGCAGTGTCACCTGCTATTCAAACCACCTCATGTTTCTCAGTTGGGGTTAATTAACTTGTCCTTTTGCAATCAATTCATAGTATAACCCCTTGAGGGTCTTGGGTATTTCTGGTTGATGGGATAGGAGATTCTTCACTGGGAGGGAACGAATTATCCTGAGTATTTTAATTGTTTGAATGAAAGGAAAATTTGACATGTAATGTCAGGAAAACATAATAGAATGTAAAGTTTGTCTCTGGTTTCCTTTACTAGAGACCCAAATGTATAGATACTCAAAACAGATCACAACTAAACTGGGCCCTCTTTAATTTTCAGGGGACTAATGGTCAAGCGAAAGACACTAAGGTCCCCATGTACACGGAGTATCAGAGGTCCAGAGAACTTGCATTTTAGTCTTTGCTTGTTCATTTATTTTCAATTTTCTGTGCTGGAAATTGAGCCCAGAATCATGTTGACAAATACGATACCTTGGAACATTATGACACTGGCTCTCTGAGCTTTTAAAACATTTCCCTAAAAGCTGGACTAGGGGATGCTGCCTGTGGGGGCTAATGCTATATTGGAGAGGACCTTTCACTTTTCTCTATATAACCCCAAAGGAAGCCGTGGCAACATGCCTGGTCATAAGCACTTTGACAGTCTACAGATTCCATACCTTTCAGACTTGTGTTTGACATGTTTTTTCCCATGTGGCCTTGCTATCATGGGTTCCTCCAGAGTAAGTACTCAAATGGCGGTGATTCCAGTGTACACTATTGAGAACTGTGTTGAAGGCTTCTGTGGAGGCTCTGCACAGGGCACCAAACAATCTGTCATAGATTTCTATGTTCTAGACACTGTCCTCTGGCACTAAGGTGAAGCATGCCTTAGAGTCACCCCCTAAGGGAGTGGAGGAAATCTGGCATTTACCTACCAATGCCATCCATAACTGGCAGGGGCTTTAAGGACACACACTCTCTGAAATTTATGGCCTGACTTGTAGTTAAAGTCCATTGGAAGTGGTAATGGCCAAGGCAAGAATGGATGAATTGTGTGCATGTCTGCTGTACTTAGGGATGGGATTGATATGCCTTCCCTGCCATGGGAGAGCACACCGTCTAGTGAGATATGGTATATACAGCACATGCCATCTTCCCAGCACAAGGATCCAGCTAATGCCATGCTTTCATTATCTTTCATGTATAATACATAAATCTCAACGAACCTACCATGCAAGCAAACAGTTTCTTAGTGAACAAAACTCGAGTGTGGAGGCAGCCCACACACAATGTGAAAGAGGACCACGCCTTGTCTCTAGTGACTCTACCAGAAAATAGAGAGATACCCAGCTACACAAAGACAGCCCTGCTATTTGTTCAGGAACAGTCTGCAAGCTAAGAGAGCCCCAGGCAGACAGGTTGGCATTTTGCCTATCCCAGTACTGCTTGACTGGGGCACAATGAAGAGTATAATGTTCTCAGGGAGTGAATACACATTTAAAATGTAATACAACAAAGATCACATCCACCAATCACAATCTGATTTTGGGCGTGCACTGTCAAGTTGAGGGGAGTCTAGTTGACTGTTGCAACTGGCATCAGATGGGCCTTATGTTGTCTAAACTGTTTCCCAAGTAACAGAGCTGCTGTTGTTCGCCTTTCCCTACTGGGCATGTCACACACACCCAGGTCAGAGTATGAGGGATGCAGGATCCTGGGCCATGGGAGCCAGATGTGGTCTGGGCTAAGCTAAGGGACACTCTCTTCCTTCAAGAGGGAGCTGGGGTCTATCTTTTCTGTAATCTATGAGTTAATAATCAGATTACTGCACAGGATTTTAACTCAGCAGCGCACAGGGTTTGTGGATAGTGAGTTTCTGGTTGGTTGTGTATAAAATACAATGGGAAAATTGTATCCCTTTCATTAACCAGTGATCAGTATTTAGGGTATCAAGCATTTATTTTGGTTGTAAAGGAATTTCATTAAAAAAAATGGTGCTATTAACAGTAGCTGTGACTTTGTCACCGACAGAACCCATTGTTTTGCTACTCACAGAAGTCTATGCAGGTCCTGTAGAATATAACACTGATCATTCTCACAACTTTATCATCAGAGCCAGCGTGCATGAGTCAATCAGAGCCAGCAAGCATATATCAGTAAAGAAACACATATGTTGCTGAATCACAAATTAATAAATATACTTGGATTGAAGAATTTTGACTGGCTTTGTAGTCTCCCATGCATTTTATTTTTTATGTATTCATAAATTCTGTTCTAAACAGATGTTCACAGTTTTACCAAACACGCTTTGATGGGTCATAAGCAGCATTGTTTTGAGTGATGAGAACTGAAGAAATTATTATAGGTTAGCATTTTATCACTGAAGCAAAATGCCTGAGATAGCCTATGATTTCGAGACATGATCTCACTATGTAGCACAGGCTGACCCCAGACTTGCAGACATTCTTTTGTCTTTGCCTCCCAAATGCTGGAATTCCATGACTGAGACACCATGCTTTCCCTTCCATGATGATTTTTGGCATCTCTATAGCTTGATATTGCCTTATATTCCCCTTTCCTGAGAGCGATAACCCTTGTGTTTAAAATGAAATATCAATTCAAGGACCATAATCTAGGTGTGCAAATGCACACCTTTAATCTCAGGAGGTGGAGACAAGAGGATTATGAGTTCATGGACAGCCTGACATACCAAATGAGACTATCTTAAAATAAAGGGGGAAAAAATAGGAATCAGCATTTTTTAAAAAGTTGTATCCTAGAGTGTAAGTTCCCATTTATTCTTATTAGAGAGGAATGACTTCCAGGGTGCAGGAGCCTTCTCTGCTCTCTCTGATTGTCATGTATATGGTAGAAGATTCCAGAAGAGCCTAGCATATATTAGTGAGTCCGTAAATGCTTCCTGGTGCATCTTGACTTGAAACTTCAGTCCTTTGAAAGAGATAGTAAAAGCTGAGTTTCTGCAAATGCAACTCATAAATACGGTGGATGGGATCCTTAGTTATCTACAAGGTGTGACTATCAGGTCAGAATTTCCAATTCCTCTTCTTTCCTTCTCCACCCCCTCATGTTTCCTTCCCTTTGTTCTAGGTAGTATATACTGGGCTGTTATATTATTGTAGATTTTAAGTGAGTGAGAACATGAGCCAGTTGTGAAATATTGTGGACATGTTCTCTCTCTGGGTAAATACCAGCTACATGGGCTGTTCAAATGTAAATATTTATCAAAGTGTACTTTATTTAAAATTATAGTTCAATCTGAATATATTAAATGTTCAACTTTTAAAGTGTGTGCGCAGTTTAAAGTGACAAGTAGTTGAAAGAGGTAATTCAGTGCATTTTTACATATACTTGAAACCCATTGATTAAAGATACAAACCAATCTCATGAGAACCGAACATTCTCTTGCATTCTCTTTCCTGTGTGTTCTCCTTTCTGGTTTCTAGGAGCATGTGATTAATTTTACTTGTTTAAGAACTTCATAGAATCAGGGGTAATAGAATCTGTATTTTTTGTGTCAATTTTTATTCAACATAAGGATTCTGAAATTCTCTCCTTTTGTAGCTTGTAGCCATATTTCAATCTTTATTGTTGATTAATATTCCACTTTATGGATATTCTGCAGTTTATTCCATTTTGATGAACATTTTGGTAATTTCCAGATCTCTTCTCAATAGTTTCTATGGATAGTTTCACTGTAGTCTCATCATGTCCATATATTTAATTCTTCTTGGGTTGGACCAGGGAAGGTAATGCTGGGTTCTAAGGCAGGTGTGTATTCGTCTTTACTAGGAATCACCAGACGGCCTAACACCTTGGCAATTTAACCAGGCATTTTAACACTTTACCAGCTTACCAGTTTGTTTTCTGCAAGTGTTGAGCACCACAAATTCCAGTCTTTGCCAGACCTTGTTATTTTCAGTCTTCTTGAACATTTTGTGCTTACAAGTAAGCCTGTGTATGCATGCTAGATTTTAATTAAAAGTAAAAAGATGGAAATTAAAATGAAAGTGGTTAATTCCAAAACATTAGAGATTTAAAGAAATTATCCAAAGAAATTTAAAATTGAATAAGTTACCCATAATTTTTTGGTATGGTTTTGTTTTTTGATGGCTGCCAGGAATCCAATATTGACTTGCTAAACTGGTGTCTACTTATTTTATATTTTGTAGAAATAGTAAGACTAAGTGAAAGAGAAAAATGACCTGTGCAGTCTACAAAAGGAGGTTATTTCATCTCCGCTTATACTCTGCTTTTGCTAAGGGGGCTTAGTGCTTGGAGGATTTTCATTAGAGCTCACTGCTTTTCTTCTTTCTTATTTCAGAGCACAAATGTCCAGTGGATGAGCGGGAACAGCTGGAAGAGACCTTGCCCCTGATTCTGGGGCTCATCTTGGGCCTTGTCATTGTGATAACACTTGTGATTTACCACATCCACCATAAAATGACTGCCAACCAGGTGCAGATCCCCAGAGACCGGTCCCAGTATAAGCACATGGGCTAAGGACCATTAGGCAGACAGCCTAGCCTCCAGGTTCTGCCCCAAACTGGATCAATTAGAATGACAATGGCACTTTTCACCTGTATACAGGATACACCAACATAGCTACACTCCAACAGGACCAGGCACCTGAGTCTTGCCTGACCTGTGTCCATGCTCAAACCCAGGGATGACAGGCAGGTCTTGGAATTTGTGGGCTGAAGGGTGACTCTTCTGTCCACATTGGGGTGTAAGGGTGGGTGGGTAGGGTAATAGACAACTTCCATGCTCATGATGGCTTAGCTTTGGCTCTCTGACTTTGTAAGTCTACAGCACTCAGAAGGAAAGACGTGGCCCTTAAGATTAGAAACTGAAAACACTTCCTTTGGGAGACCCCTTTGCTCTCTTGGCCTCAGCTCACTTACATGGTTTTCTTTTATTTTCTCTTATTTAATATACTGAATTAAAAAAAAATCCCTCATATATTACATCCCAACTAGATAGAGTTCCTCCTCCCTCCTCTTCTCTACCGTCCACTGTCCACTCCTCAACTGTTTCTGGCCTCCTTCAGAAAAAGGCAGGCCTCCCAGGGATATCAAACAAATATGGCATATGAAGTTGCAATAAGACTATGCACCTCCCCTCATACTAAGGTTGGATGAGGCAACCCACTGGGAGGAAAAGGATGGCAAAGGCAGGCAAAAGAGTCAGAGACAGCCCCCTACTTCCTCTGTTAGGGGCTCCTACAATCCTTCCTCCTCCTCTTCTACAGGATTCCACAAGCTCCACCTAATGATTGGTTCTGCTGCTCTGCATCTGTTTCTATCAGGTGCTGGATAAGCCTCTCTGAAGATGATTATGCTAGGCTCCTGTCTATGAGAATAGCGGAATATTATTAGGAATCATTTCACTGACTTTTTTTTTTAAGCCTATTATGTCTGGTTCTATCCTATGTGTCTAGGCTACCCAGGCTCTGGTTCCTGGCCCTCTAGGCAATGTCAGGGGTAGGCTCCTTCTTGTGGCATGGGTCTCAAGCTGGACAGGACATTAGTTGGCCACTCCCCCAATTTTGTGCCGCCTTTAGCACATTTTGTAGGCAGGACAAATTGTAGGTCGAATGTTTCGAGGCCAGGCTGGACTTACACAGTTTTCAATGCACACAAAACACAACCTCATGCTCCCTGCAGCAAGATCCCTGAAAGTGATCCATGCTTCTGGCTGGCATTCTGCATGTCTAGTGATTGTTTTGGGAATGTTTCACTGCTATCTGCGCCCAGTGACTTTGCAGCACAAGAACCCGTTTAATGTCACTATGCACAGTTGTTTGGAATTCATAATGTGTCAGGTCCAAGTGAAGGGACCTAAAGAATCAATCCATGTGAGTTTGCTTTTGAAAATGAATTAAAAAAAATATACTCTGGCCTTTGGCTGTCTTTTTAAAACAAGAAAATAAATAAAACGACAATGGTTTCTTTAGTAACCAGAGAAGAGGATTGAATTAAAATTGATATTTTTTTTTTTTTGCAAGAGGATAAACAAAGATGGGGCAGGAATGAAATGAGGAGAAGGTTGGGTTTCCATAGCTGTCTTGGGGTTCCTATTGCTGTGAAGAGACATCACGACATGGCAACTCATAAAGAGGGAAACATTTAATTGGAGCTGGCTTACAGTTCAGAGGTTTAGTGCACTGTGTAGTTGGAATTTTTTTCTTTGGGTTACCAACCAGCTCCCTAATAAAGACTTGGAGACTTCTTATTAATTATGAATGCTCAACCTTAGCTTAGGCTTGCCCCACTAGTTCTTTTACCTTAATTTAACCTGTTTTTTTTTTAACTACATTTTGTCTCAAGGCTTTTTACCTTTATTTCATTCTGTATATCCTACTTTCCTGCTTCTTCCTTGTCTGTCTGTCTGGCCCTTGGTGTCTTCCTGGTATGCAGCACAAATAATAAAAATCCATACACAGATATTGGCAATCAAGCTGAAGATTAGAAAGCAAAGCAGCCAACCACTAGAGAATTCTCACCTCTACCAAGGCTGGGGAAATCCTGTCCTCAACATGACTGGAAACTGAATGCTGCCTGAGACCCTGAGCTCCTGTCTTAAATACCTCTCTTATACTGGGATTAAAGGTGTACACCACCACCACCAAGCCTCTATGGCTAACTAGTGTGGCTGCATAGGATTAAAGGTGTGTCACACCACTGCCTGGCCTCTGTGGCTGTGACTAACTTTGCATTCTGATCTTCATGCAAGCTTTATTAAATCATAAAGAACATATTACCATACTCATGTCTCCTTTTTTTTTCTTCTCCAGTCCTAAATTCACTATGAACTTTTGCTCCCCAGAAGTCCCACCTACACCTCCTCCCTTGCTATTGGCCTTTCAGCATTTTATTAGATCAATAAGGTGCCTTATAGAGGCAAGGAAAAATGGCAACACATCTTTACATGATTAAACTAATGTAATATATCTTTACATAGTTGAACAATTGCAGTATATCTTTGTATATTTTAAATATTCCATAACATTTACCACTTTTGTCTAAATAAAAAGAAAGGTTTTAGCTTTAAAATAGTAATAGTGTATATAATAAAAACATTCATCAGGTAAGAAATACATTTATAATATCCAGTCCATTTGCATTTGACAAATTTAGAGAAAAATACTTCATTATCTGTCCTATCTTGGTGAGTCCAAAGTTGTGGACCTGATGGGAGATGTCATTCTGTGTATGTTTCTCATACTGGTTAATGAATAAAGCACTGTTGGCCAATAGGAAAGTTAGGTAGGCAGGACTAGGAGATGAGGAGTAAAGAGGAAGTAGTAAGGAGGAGTCAAGATGGAGAGACTGGGGAGATGAGATGCTGGCCCCTTTACCCAGTAAGAAGACCACGTGGAAATATTAGATTAACAGAAATGGGTTAATACTTAAGACAGAGTTAGCTGATAAGAAACAAGCAACGGGCCAACAGAATTGTATCTAATACAGAGTCTCTGTGCGTTATTTGGGGCTGGCGCGGCGGCGGGACAAGACCAGGCGGTGGGAGGAAAAACCGTACGCCTTACAGTGGACCCAATTTACTTTCTATATTAACTTGATTGCCAACCCCAAATTAACTTTTTAGACTTCAAAACAATTTCTTAGGTAAACAATTTGAACTTTTAAGTTTCTCAACCTTATAAGATTTACATCTCTTATGTAAATTTCTTTTCTGAATTTAACCCAAGGAAAACTTTAAATATCTCATCTTCAACTACAGCAGAGATCTGAAAAAGGATATAATATTACCTGAGTAAACAGGAAGTATAGAGCAAGCAACTTCCAAAACTAGAGAAAGGCCAAAGACATCCAGCTGCCTGTACAGTCACCCAAGCTTCCTCTGCAACATTCGGGCATCTCTCTTTGACCTGCAGGCCTATAATATCTGACAGCATTTTCTGTGAAGCAGAAAATTTGAAGGACAGTCCCACCTTGTTTTGGAAAAATTACAGTCTTTTTCCTTTATGTCCTACTTGTCTAGCTTGTACAGAATATTGTCAGCAGGTGAGACAATGACAGTTTCTTTGCCCAATGGATAGTTTTGCCACAATGAAAGCAAACTCCATATGGAGCTTATTTCATGCTCATCATCCTTTCATGAAGTAGGTTGGTGTTGCCAGGAACAGATGTGTCTACTGTCATGAAAAGCTTTAGGTTATTAAACATCTTAAATGCCATATTCTGTAAGTCTCTGAAGCATGGAAGATCACCTACCTATCTAAAATATATGTTTATCCTTGAAAATATACCTAACATGGTTACAAGTTTGATTGTTATAGATGACTAACTACTAACATGCATTTCTTAATTATCCTAAGCTGTTTTTAATAGTTTTCAAAGACTAGAACTTTATATTACATTTTCAAATGAGCTGCATAGGTACAATATCTTAAACAAAAATAGGAACATATACCCAGTATAACAAAAATAATCTTAACTTTGTACCAATATACAAAATCCCATACAAATGTAAAATATTTGAGATGAATACTTGTCTTTTTATTGTATATTTCTGTCTTGCTACTAAATAGTGACAAACATCCATAACCCACTGAATGACAAAAACCACTCATCTCACTTCATGGAAATGTAGGCATTGTGTCCTATAGACTGATTCCAGTTATCTGGGGCAGGGTGGTGGTGGTAATGGTATCCTAGGGGATTCAGAGAAACCTGAGATAATTGTTAGGTCCTAAGAAAACTAGCTATAATATTTGTTGTCCAGTCTCTGTGTAACAAGAAAGTGCAAGGCTTATCTGAAGTCCTGTCTAGAATAGTCTGTCAGCCTGAAGCATTTCAGCTAGCAGTCCTGAAGTTGTTCTGAATGCAGAACTCTGAGGAAATGGTAACAGAGGCACTCTGAAAGGCTGGATCACCTGTGGTGTCTTGTTTGCTTACTCTGAAAACACAAAATCTTTCAAAAGTAACATACACATCTGCGTTAACACAAATATGGACTATGCATTGTACACATGTCAGACAAATTTGTTTTTTGTTTCACATCTGAGTAGGTAAAAGACATCTGTCAACTTTATAAGTAAGTTTAGACTGTATAACCAAATCTCTATCCATGCCATATGAAAGGATGGCATGTAATAACACTTCATGAGCACTTTGTAACCAACAAGATTTATCCTGTCTCATCCAGTGTCAGAGCTGTTCCCATGTCAAGGGGTCAGCATATATGTCACTTGCAGTTTTCCTATGTTTTCCCTAGATTTTCTAGATGGTCTCCCAATCAAATCTGATCTCTATTATTTCTGAAGAAATCAACAGACTATCATTTCCCATGGGAACAAAAGCATAACCTCTCCCTCAACACAATACAGTTTCTGAATTCCATTTTAAAAGTAAGAAATCCCTAAAGTATCTAGGCTACTTTAATTTAGCAGCTCTTTTTCAGATTTCATGTCTCTCAGCAGCTGTTGTTCACTCATTGGCATTCAAAAAACTCAAAAGCAACAAAGCACTATGCAGTATTCATACTCCCCATACATTTCCCATCTTTATTCGGCATGTTCTTTGTATATTACTTTACTCTTTCTTTAATGACT